TTCTTCTGCTTCTTCGTGATCTTGGATGTAATACTTGGAGGGTGTTTGAATGAAAATCTCTGGTTTTAAATGTCATCGATCCCCATCTAGCGAATCGCGCTTTCTATCGCGATCCGCGGGGTATCCAGGAGACCGGGGGAGGAGTAGGTTTATCTTCCATATCCAATTCGTCAGCTGATCGATTTGCGTGATGTGAGCCACCTAATTCGGATCGCGAACGCAGATCGAGCCGCAAGCAGACCGGATGTGGTGCGGACTCCTAAACCCGGCTCTCGATCGCCGATCAAGTCGTCAGCGCATCGGATCGCGTGGTGTGGACCATATACCTCGGATCGCGATCGCTGCTAAGGCGACGCGTGGCTGTGATCCTTCTCATGCAAAAGGCAAGTTGATAGTGTTTGGCCTTATTGGACTTTGGTAGCATTGAATTTTCTAGGTTAGCTATTGGTAGTCTTTGTACCTTACGCTAGTTTTTGGTATAGGTATCTGTTAGTGACTAATAAATAGGTAACATCTAATCGTACGTGTTCTTATTTCTTCCGATTGGTATTGTTGGCCACCCGTTGAATAAAGGGACGTCACATACGTACAGCAGATCACCCCTGGAAGATTTTGTCTAGGGGTTCAAGTATACTCAAATCAAGCCAACTGCGATCGGACGAAGCGTTCAAGCAAGAGATCTCTATGAGACTGTTCAAGTGGTCGGACGATCTACTAGACGGCTCAAGAGGACAAACAAGATAGGAAGGTCCTGAGTGGATTGAAGCAGCTTTAAGCGCCAGTGTTTGCTGCGACAGGATTTCCCCGCAATCCACCCCCTTCGACCCATACCCCATCACGATCAAGATCGGAGCAAGTCCACCCGAGGAGAGCGCAATACGCCCAGTCGACGGGTACACAAGGTAAGAATCGACTAGCATACGGTATCGGAGCACCCCTCCGTCAGTCGACAGTTTGGGCGCCCGTAGGAGGTCAGGTTCACAGAGAGTTTTTTGTGATCACTGCTCCACCACAAAGGTGCGTGCCTGGGTCTTCTGGTGACTCGGATATATCGTGGAGTACCCATAACAAAGATCACACGATCAAGATGAAACTTGGGATCAAAGCGTCATAGGAAGAGAAATAGCCGCCGACGAACGATAATGATAAATCACCGTATTGTCAAATAATGAAAAGGACTTTGACAACAAAAAATTAAAGAGGAAGACCACTCAATCGACGATCGCAATACGCGGGATGTAGTCCACACCACGTGATCCTATTGCGGAGAAGCCACCCGCAAAAAGGAGAAAAAGGGGGGGGGGGAAACCACCGCGCCCGGGTCGCAGACGAGACGAGCTGTATAACGATCGAGGTATGTGGTCCACCCCCGCGTCGTCTGCTGACGACTCGACTTGCAATCGCGATCCGAGGTATGTGGTCACACCACGCGATACGATATGCTGACGGCTCGATCGGGGGTATTTGGTCCGCACCACGTAACCCTATATTCGCTGACGTCTCGATCGGCGACTGCGATACCAGGGTATGTGATCCACACCACGCGATACGATCCTTTCAATATATATACAGATATAGCTATAGTACTTAACTAAGTATTATGGGCACGTGACGATATAAATTAATTGTGCCGTAGTTACGCTTACACTACAGACGGTGTAGGCTTAATGTACCAACGGTACAGACACACCAAAATGGTGCGGCAGAATGTTGGTATAATATACACCTTCGCGTAACCCGTTACAATATGAATAATTCTGCATTCCCAATTTTTCGCGTTCCAGCTCAAGCAGTTTATGTCTCGGGCATACTGCTCGCGGGGCCGAATGGTAGACCAGGGGAAAACATGACGGCTGGCGGGTACCCGCGCCACACATCATCGCTTTGGCGCTCGCACAAGTCAGCTCAACGGACCGCATAAGCGGTGACCAAGGAAGCCTTGCCTTTCAACACCCACGGGGCGTCATTAGCGTAACGAGTCGCTCGAGCGGTCTTTATGAAATGCCATGGCCGGTAAGATGTCAAAGCAGCATCGACTTATAAACCCAAGATGTAACAATGTGAGCCTGTTACATGACATTGACACCACTTTTAGCTTTTTGTACAATATTATCAAAATAGATAAGATAAACAATATTATTGGAAGGGATTATGTTGTAGAAATATGACCTTAGAATCTTGTACTCCATCAAAGCTGGCTAGACTTCGCCTGTTCGCTGACTTACCATTTCATTGCGTGCGCCCATCCTTCAGTGGCCAACGCCTTGGTCATCATATCAGCAACGTGCCGGCCAACGATGGACGGGCGCGTCTAATGAAATGGTGGGGAAGTTAGTTAACATACATATTAGTACTTATATATTGCTAAAGAAGCTTATCTTGAAAAGAGTCATCAACTATATATGTTTAACAGCCCCTCTTTACATTTACTAACAAGTGGTGTTGTTCAGTGATAGTTTTCTCTCTGTATTACCGGGGGAGCGGTGAGGAAGGGCAGGTTTTTCGCGAAGATATTGTAAAGAAAGTCCATCAAGCGCCTGCTGAAGTTTAGGGGTGTCGTGGGCGGGTAGCCACTGGCGAAATAAGCCGAATACCAGGAAAAAAGCGCAGATAGCGAAGAGCAGAAGGAGCAGTTGCTGCAAGTGTTCGACAACAAGCAAGAAGACAGAAGAGAAAAGCCACCCCGTGGATGCGGAAGTGGCAAGGTGGCAGGCAGTAACCTTACCAACGGGCGTGGAACGGATGACCAAGATTGCCAGCCCGGACTGGATCAGGTTTGCAAGCATGGGTTAAGGAACCAAATACAGATGCAACGAGCGATGCACGATAGCGGAGCGCCGAACGCACGCTCTGCCAGAGAGGACACATACATTGGGTGCCCAATCGTGCTAGTACCGGTTCCAGCAGTGTTTGATTTCTCGGCAATCAATGGAGCTTGGAATGACTCATCACTAGACTTGGTGATGCGATCAAACTTGGCAAGATGACACCACATTGGAAGTCAACGCATTGCAATTTAACTTGGGTACCCGAAAAGTCGATCGTGAAGGTAAACAAGAGCAGATGTGCTTATTGAAAATTGAGCAAGTAGAAGTCATATTTGCCAGCTGACCGCAAAGAAATCGTGATCATGAATAGCATCATCACGTTTTGCCTCTCGACGGAGAACTTGGACTGGTAGTCAACTGAGGCTGAGGTAAAAATATTTTTCAACCTAAGCGAACGGCAAACATCATGAAGCAGTTGATCGCATCTGGCCCGCAAATTGGTTATTCCAAGCTGCACTCCGGCTGTCCCGACTGGAGATTGGCTTGTTTGCGACGCGCGCGATAGCCACAGGAACCGTGGTCGGACAGTGCTGGGGCACATATGTAGGTACTCACCGGCACCCATACTCCCATACTTATGTTTGCTTGTTGTGACGGCCAAGTTAAACCTCAAGTAACGCTTGATCGTGCATTGTTGTGTATGATGTATTTAGCGTACTAAAGATGCATATGTCGGTCATATACTTCGACAGTGTTTCGGCGGCAGACAAGCTTACAGCTTCGCATCCTCCGACCAGGGCGACTAGAACCACCATTGTGATGCAGGAAAATAAGGTTTCTCGTTCGGGATTAGGAGCAACCAATTGAAGTAGATAGCCTGATATACTAGACTTGTGTAAATACACACTACGTAGCCTTGGGACCGTTGAGGAGAAAAAAGTTGGCAAAAAAAGGCTAAGAAGTGGTAGTCCAGCAAATTGCCACGGTTTACGTGTTAGAATGCTGCACAACAACGCCTCTTCTTCAGCGTCCATATGCCTATAGTCCGTAGCGCAACAAACAGGGTGCAGCATCTTTTTGTTTTTCTCAAATCTAAGCTGCTGTTGTCACCAAACTGCGCGTCTTGCAAATGCTATGCTATATGCATATATCGATGCAGTGTTCGTCATGCATTCATTCCATTGTGATGTCGTCTTATGTGAATGGTCCAATTATTCCGGAACACGAGATCACAATGACTTGTGTAAAATTACTAATTATCGGATAGAACCTCAAGTGTTTTGTTCAAAAAGGACAATGCTAATGTTGTCACAAATGACAAGTAAGTAATTTCAGTTATTTTATAAGATGAGCGAAATGCGAAGAGGCTCGCGTGGAGGTCCTGACCGGGTACAATGGGCTGAAAAGTGTTTTGCAGTATACTGGTGATGCTATAAACTAATATTTGATGGGTGAAATGGGGTAGGAATGGCTGCAAAAGGAGAGAAAGCGCATTGAAGATGATATTCGAGAGGTTAGAACAAGAACCTTGTGAAGTGAATAGATATGGTGTCACTTATTTGCTCGGCTTTGTTGCTAATTAGGAGATGCAAGAGGCCGTGTCAAACGTGCAAATATTGAACCAGAACATGGAGCATATCAATGACGTGGTGGGTGGTACATTTAGTGGTTATAAATGATGTGAAGCTCGTTTAACGCCATTTGCCATTTGCAATTGGCTGTAGGGCCAAGAAGTGGTGGCCGTTTCTTCTGTGTGGGTAAAGTTCTTGCATCAGATGACGGCGTCCAGCAAGATGGTACGCTGAAGTGCAGCTATAACGACATCAATCACCTTCAAATATACCGCCAAACTGAGCATTTGCCTGTGCAGTCTCATGCTGTAGCTTTGCCTTTTCTCAATGTGCTACAATACTGACTTCTCAAATGCCAGCGTGAGATTGCTCTCTGGTAGCGTCTGCGCATTGCGCTTTGATGTTGTGTTCTTGGCCGTCAACTTGCTCTCTGCGGACGTGAATCCATCCGTCTCACAATTTGACTTCGAATCGAGAATTACCACCTACAGTCCTTGTGTGCGACGTGCCAATGACGCCTTGTGGTCTCAATCTTGCCATACGACCGGAGCTCTGATTGAGTGTCACTGCAGTTGAGTAAAATATTGCTTCTTGCCTCACTTGTACCAATGGCTGAGATATTGAAGCGGCAAACCAGGGCTTTCTCGCAAAAATTCGTCAGCCTTGCATTCTGTTGTTTCACGCCGGATTTACTGCTGTGAACGAAGTTTTGCTGTGGGTCCAGTAATTCTAGACATGCCTGACACATTAACTGACATACTATCTTGCATGCATCTGCGCTGCCATTGACTGCCCGCCTCTCCATTGCGCTGCAATTTCGTCACCAGAGCCTCGCGTAGCAACTTCCTGCCATAAGCCTTTTTGTACTTGGGGTCCAGCAGCATATCTGCGCATGAGTCAATTCAAGGAACTTATGCACTCGAGGACTAACCAAAAAAATACGTCAAAGACAATAGTAATGGCTGTAAACTGAGACTTTACGCCGTCTTCGCCGGCACTTAGGCAATACAACTTCTTCTTGTAAGCGCGACCCGCTGGTCCTTGCCTGTCACGGAATCATGGCCCAGATCTCGTATAGGTCCAGTCGGAAATCGTTGCAACCCATTGTCATTGAATGACAATGGGACTCAATGCTTCATATACGTCAAGGTCGGCCAACGTCGCGCAGTCAAATTAGTTACCACGAAGTCTACATGCTATCAAAAAGAAGCCCGGCAGCCATTTCGACGTTGCCATTGCAAGTCCGCAGCGCCTGGATAGCCTTCACAAATTAGAACAACACACGTCAGTGGCGGCTACAAGTAAATACGCAGATCCGCATAAACTCTTGCCTGCTGCTCGGGAAAGCCTAATGCCACCAGTTGAGCGATCTTTGCTTCGCCGCCTTGACCAGTAGCAGTAGGAGGTAGAGCGGAAGACTGGATGGCTTCGGCAAAAGGTGGGGTAAAGCCTGGACTTGACGCAGGAACAGGCACATCACCACTTTTGGTCGGAGGTTGTGCGGAGTCTGTGCGGTTCTCCGACGACGGGATTTCCTGCAAAACAAGATACCTCAAGTCAGTAGATTGCAAATACAGCAACAGCGAGAACACGCTGAATATCATGTACGTGTTCTGGCAAAAAGGGAACTTCGTGGAAGCGATCGCCTTCATGAAGACGCAGAACATTCTTGCTCAGATCAATGCAACACTACAGCAAGTCAAATATTATACGAGTAAGTCCGATACCAATCATAATATGTAGAGAAATGGTATCGCACCTGATGCCGCTTGAGCATATCCAGTCCAAACAGGAAGTCAACACCCTGTTGATCCAGAATCGTGAAGCTGCAGTTGTAAAATTCATTACCGATCTTTAATGCGGCCACATGCACTCTGCCAATGATTGTCGCCATACCCACGCCAATAGCCTGCACGATCGAAAGCACTGTGTGACAATCTAAAACGATCACATCTTGTTTGCACAAAAGGCAGCCTCTCTACCTGCCCAGCAAAACGCTTGTCCACAAGGCGCATGATACCACATCGTTCTGCACAACTCTAGCCAACGCAACCGATTACATTGTTTCAGCTCAATATCATCATTGTCATGAGCGATAGTTGGCCTTACCGACGACATGATGGTGGACTGTGCTCCAGAATCGACAAACGCCTTCACTTCTGTCCCGTTCACTTCGCAAGGAATGTAAAGCATGGTGACACGTCCAAATGCCTCGGGCATCTCTTCCATAGCAATCTCCATGTTCTTTTGAACGTTTGAGAGGCGAATACGCTCCGCAATTTTGGCTTGAGCATCAGCGTCGAACGGGTTTCGCTCCAGAGCCTCAATCTCCCGTTGCTCCTCAAACTTCCGAGATGCTGCCTCCATGTGCATCTGCATTAATGCCATACGTACTTCCTACATAGAGTCAAGTATCAATCTGCTTCGATAATTTTATGCCATATTCCACTTACTGACACGCTTTTGGTCTGTAGTGCTGTTGCCAACTTTGGATTCGCTTGTTGCAGCTGTAGCAAAGAGCAAACGTTTCGTTCAGACCCTTCACTACCACCACTTCATAGAGCAAAGATCCTTCTTTACCTCTACCAAAAGCATAGGGTTCTTGTCCATAATATCGAGAAGGATTTCTGGCGAGGCATTATTCTGCTATGAATCGCAACAATGAGCATTTTATGATCCACTGCAAGGCATTTCTTAGCGTCAATGTACCGGAATCTCGTGCATCTTCATGCCCGTGCGAGCCGTATAACTCGACATACTCGTCACAGTAGATCTTGTAGCAGCAGATGCAGTCGAAGGGCTGTGCATAATCACCAGCAAATCATTGTCCTTGACCCCCGTCTCCTCGAACTTGAACGAGCAACAAGCAGTAAGTGATGCAGATGAGCGTTTAGACCAAGAGCGTTTCACATTTGTATCGTGTGGTATTTACCGTCTGATTCATACTCAACGGATTGCTATCGAGCATGAGCACTTGAGATGCTGCTGGAATGCCAAACTACACATGGATACGCTATATTCAGAGACTTGTCTTCCATGCAGGTGTACTGTATGATCAAGACTATTGAATCTTTACGTGTTGCTGAAGCTGTGGAGCCACAGAGTTGAGCTGGTGTGTGGGTTCCACATTGATCTGAGCCATTTGGTCTCCGTCTGCCGATGTTACTGTTACCTGCATTGCGTGTTTACTCTTGTCAATATGATAAGTGTGACTACTACTGCTACTATTACTATTTTGTAATCATATTACTTTTTGTATTACTATCATGTTAGTACTATTAGTATTATGTAAATAATACTACTATACTAGTATTCTTCTTGTCATGTAAAAAATACTACATACGATTGTGCTATCATTTTGGAAGTGAAATATCGAGCTCTATAATATGCTAAATTACTGGAAAAAGCATTACTATTTTTGTATGAAAGGCATTTGGGTAAATGGCACTTCGGAATATGCAGCTTTTAGCGTAAAATTAAAAGCCACAGTACCAATGCCAGTCATTTTTTCACGATGAAGTTGAGTGCGCTTTAGTCTTCCATAGTAACTAAAGTTGATCCTTATTAGTGTTCCAGAGGTCAACCGCCGGGCCTCGAGAATTCTAGATGCAGGATGCTTTGTCGTCCAGTAGAACGCATTGCTTGCAGCAAAAGACTGCTGAAGTATCTTACGCTGCAAGAATATGGCCAGCAGTAGGAAGTAAAAAGGCTAAGCAAGCAGAGTCCCACTTTGATGTCACCATAGAGGTGATCACGGCAGCAGATGCTTCACGGCACTGTGATGGTGTCCCAGCGTTAATGTTTTGTGACGACACTTTGTCAGACACATTTCGAGATCACACTCAAAAGGTGCTAAAGCGTAGAAGATATCGAAAGCTTACCATATCGTATTGGCATTTGATCGTTTAGTATCTAATGAAACGGAGCTCCAAAGACCCACAAGCTGCCACTAGCTGAGATTATAGCACCACACGTTGCAATGTCCTTCTTCTTCAGCTCCAGAATTTGGCACACACGCATTCGCCACACTGATGTACGGCTCAATACAGTACGGCAGGCCAACAACAAGCTCGATATGATGCACCCAATCTTTGACGTGATTTCATCATGCATTTGCGGCATAAGAATGTGAGGAAAGCATGCGGCAAAAGCAGCTCCATGTATGCTGCTCTTGAGTAACTAGACATCCAACGCTTTGACAACAGAGTGCTCTCAATATAAGGTGGAGAACATCACGACTGAATCAGACAAAAAACGTTGACGCAATTTGATAACGCTATGCATCAATTGAAGCTTATGCACGGGTTGGGGAAAGAAATGTGAAGCAACAAAGACTGTGGGATCTCAATAAGTGGCATTATTGATGTCGGATTTTTCAGCTTTGAGGTTGTAAAGCTTGGTGGTGCAACATGATGATTATATATAGTGTCAACTGCATATTGACCTACGTGGTGAATGTGCGTTGGAAAAATTGGATGGTCGGGATAATCTAAAAACTTACAAGGCGAAAGTGGCTGTTTCAACGCAAACCTTGCTTGTGATGATGGACATCTTTCCGTCGCGTTTTCGACTTTGTATTGCGCGTACTATTGATTCAAACACGTTTTCCTATGGAACGCAAACGTGATCAAATGTACTCATACATGCTGGAACGTTCTTGTCAACTAGCGACTTTGTCCCACGGCTTTTCACTGTAACAGACGATACAATCAACTTGTACCAATGAGCTGCCTGGAATGAAACCAGCCAGATTCTCTCAAAAAATAGCTCGCCCAACAGTTCTCAGGTCCTAGTGGGCACAAAGCAGGTAAGACGTCTCTACCGTAATATCAGACGCATCTATCGTAATATCAACCCCTTTTTTTCAAGCCTATCTCACCAACCCATACGCCATAAACACCGCCACAGTCGTTAAATTGCTATACAACTTATCAATAACAAAGAAAGAAGCAAAACGCGTGCGTAGGTTGAACAAAAAGCTGCTAGCAATGAAGATGATGATTAGCATTTTCAACAAGACCTTAGTGCTTTTTGAACCTGCAACATGTTTTGTTACTTTATTCGTACCTTACAAAGAGCATCATGTGAAGTAAACCTGATGATTTCGCTATCCTTTCTTTCTTCTAACGGTAATTTAAATGACCTTAGCGACTAATAAGAGTAGGTAATGTACATTTTGTACACAAATCACACGAGTTCAACCTGGACACACCGATGTATCAAATCATTAATCGAGTGTCAAAAAACACACCATTCATATGGTTTCGCTGGTTCTAGTACTTTGTCCACCCTAATATCAACATCTCGATCGTCTTACGAACGTTTTTAGTATGCCAAGTACCGCAAACAGGTGTCAACATAGTGGTACCAAAAAATAAGTGGCTAAGGAAGTAAATATAGTCCTACGTTGCATTCCAGCTCGTGGCAGTAGCATGCTGACTTTCTTTCGCAGCTGTTGTTTGTATGACAATAACTTCAAATTGGCTCGTCTGTCCGTTTATTTGCGTAAGTGGGATAGATGATGCATTAGGGTACTACATTGTCAATTACGTGTGGAATCTCTTTAGTAGCAAGTAATAAGAGGAGAGACAGAGATAGAGAGAGAAGAGAGATTGACGGTATGTGTTGTATTCATTGCGGACGTTCGGTAAAGCCGTTCGATTCGGCGTGACAGTACGTATATTATTACTAGCTTTCTAACTATCTTCTAGTATTGTAGCAGCATTCCGGCTTCACTACAGCTCCGAGATCAACCGACCGACGAGTGCGCGGTGTTGGCTTCTTCTTACGCACTCATGGAAGACGATAAAACACCCAAGTCGGACGTTTTGGCAGGACACGAGGACTTTTCTCAAGACGCAATCGAGTTTTCAATTCATGACGGCAATAAGAGACGATGGATGAATTGTTGTTGTATACGACGACAAAAGATAGACAAGCGTCAGGATATGGAGATTGGGGAAGTCAGTGGTATTAGCTTAAAGTCAAAGACACACGATCAACTTGTGGCAGATCGACAATTGAAGCAAAAGATTGCACACTACTCGACGATGCGCGTACATATGAAGCGCGTGCAATTGTGTCTGCAACAGGAAAAGCGCAATAAGTTTTACAAGGAATTGGTCGTATACTTGTGCTTTGTGGCAGTCATCATGGCGACGTTGTTGACATTGCCAGTTCATTTTCCGTACGAACAGAATTCGGTGTTGGATAGTACTTACTTTCAGGAACAATTTCCGGATGAAACTTATCCTAAAACTTTCTATGACGTTGGCAATGAGCGTGAAATGTGGCAGTGGATTAATGGACCGATGCTGTATCAGTACTATGACTCTCCTAGACGCAATAGCCGTCCCATTGGTAGTATTCAGATGCGAACAGGTCGAGTAAAAGGCACCCTTTGCAGTCAGACTTCTGGACGAAATGGTTTCGTTATGTTTTCGGATGAAATTTGTTATCCCGAGTATTCGACTAGACACGAAATGAAGAATGCGTATGGTAATGATAGCGGTGTACTGGGTACAAAGTATTACTGGACCAGCGGAATGGGCAAGCTACTACGCTCCGAGACGTTTAAACCAGGTCTTGTAAGCCGCGAAATGGACTACGGTCACGGTGGATACGTGGTCTATCTACCTCGCGACAATTATACTGCAGCTACCGCGTTAGTCACACAGCTACAAAGCGACTTTATTCAAGATGGCACGCGGTACATGGTATCAACCTTTGCTTTCTACAACGCACGTAGCAATATATTTTCGCATGTGCAGGGACTTTTTGAGATGAGCAATACCGATTACATGGAGGTTACAGGAAGAATCAAGAGTTTTCGTATTTTGGCAAGTTACAAGGACATTGATGAGTTTCTGGATGCTAACGCCCTCGTGATAGTCTTGATGGTTGCCACCCTCTTGCTCGTGACTCGTCAAATCTCGGATTTGCGCAATAACGGGCTACGTAAGTATGTACAATCTCTTTGGAACCTATTGGACATGCTTCAGCTCGTGTTACTCATTGTGTTTCTTGCGTATTGGGTTCTTTTTTTCGTAAAATCGGAAAACATCCGTGGCGATCTTTATCGTGTCGGTGACATGGATTGTTCCGGTCCGGCGGACGACCAGGAGGCAGCACGATCTTGCTTTATCGATGTAGAGGAACTAGCAATACTAGCTCGCTCAGTCAAAAATTACGCAGCAACTCTCGGACTGGTGTCCGTGGCTATTGTGTTTAAGTACTTGCGATTGAATTCGCGCTTGAATTTGCTGTGGCGCACCCTTCGCTTTGCAGCCAAGGACCTTCTTGCGTTCGTGATTATTTTTTTCACCATTTTCTTTGGCTTTGCAGTTATGGGCTACTTGACGTTTGGTACAGCTGTGCAGCAGTATCATTCATTGTCGATGTCATTGACGAGTTGCTTCCAAATGCTCTTGGGTGCATTCGATTACGAAGAAATTTACACTGCTAATCCGACCATGGCGGCAATATTCTTTTTCAGCTTCATGGTCTCTATCTATCTCATTTGCGTCAACATGTTCATTGCGATAATGAGTGAGTACTATTCTTTGGCTCAGAATGAAAAGAAGACCCTTGAAGAAAACAGGCGCAATTTTGCAGATAGTAAGGACAAGGATGACGAGGACTTTCGCGATTCACTTCAGCTTTTGGACGTTGAGTATGACGTGGCGAAGCAGGTCAAGAATTACATCAATGGTCTGCGAGTCCGAGTGAAGATGCCACCACTTGTAAATACTAAGTCGGCATATAGTACGGAGCAGCTCATGTTATCTGGTTTCCAGCGGGTACTACTCGTGGATTATGACTATCTTATGGCCGAACGAAAGCGATTACGCCGAAAATTCCGTGCCTGCGTACACCTGGTCATGGTTTGTGGTGACTTGATGCGCCAGAACGATCCGGATTTTATTATGCAAGTGGAGCTCGATTATATCGGTGAGCGCGCGCGTCCTCAATCGGATCCTACTGACTCATCCGCTGATATTGTCGAGTTTCCCGTGACCTACGTTCCCATTTCATCATCATTAGCCAACACTGTCGAAATCCTCAAGCGGTTAAAGCGAGGAATGTTCATTGAAATCGACGATGGCTCGCTTACGAAAGATCAAATCACGCTAGAAGTGCTTGGAGACCAGGGTGAATACGTCCAATCGTGCTTCATGAACCGACAGCAAGCTGTGCAGCAACACGATGACTGCTATGAGAACAATGACGGCTATTATGTGCGCATTAGTGAATCTTACGCAACCGAAATGGGTGGAAGTAAGCCCGACCCGGTGTTTTTTGGTCTGCAGCATAACCACCCGACGGTGGGTAAGGCCGACCACATTCGAGCGTGTCGTGTGCTTTACAATGGCAATGCCCTGCTAGACGGTAACGAAATGTGCGTCATGCCACGTTCGACATGGTTTCGCTACTTTGTTGAATACGTTGGATGGGGCTACGTCAAGCGGCACTTAACATGCAAGCGGACGAAGAAGACAATACACCGACTCGTGACAGATGCTGAAGTCGATCGGCTCATCACAGAGAGCTATGCTGCACCCGGCCGCGGCATCTCATGCAGATTCGACGAACTTGTGCGCAACTTTCGCATGTTTATTGCTAAGAAGGTGCACAAGCGTCACCTTCGTATTCCTGATCTTGAAGACCGCATCTTCGAGGAGGTGATCACATTTCTCGAACGATTCCCATCAGCGCTTACTCCTTTGGACAAGCGCGAGTTGGAAGGCTACAAGTACACACCACAACCATTGGATACTCGTCACATTCGATTGCCTCACTCGATTAATTTGCTGGCAGAGTTGCTATCTCAAAACGCACATGAAGTTTGGGCCGTGGGGCGAATTAATCAAGGTTGGCGCTGGGGCACTGAACGTAACAACGACCTGAAGCTTCACCCTGACCTCGTGCCTTATGAGTCGCTTACAGAGCAGGACAAGCAGTACGATCGCGACACATCCATGTCGGCACTCAAGGTCATTACGACATTAGGTTACGTGTTGGAGCCTCCACTCAACAACGAAGAACAGTTTGACGGATTTGAGTTTGGTACCGCCGCAGCTGAACCCGGAGGTACTTACGTACCGAAACCAATCCCGACTGATGATGTAAAGGTACCTCCTCATCTTCGTTCAGTAATCGAGCTTCTTGCTGAAAACACACACGAAGTATGGGCACAGATGCGCATGGAGCAAGGCTGGAAGTTTGGTCCTCGGCGTAACGACGCCATGAAGGAGCACAATGGCCTTGTCCCGTACATATACCTTACACATGACGAGAAGGATATGGACCGCAACACCGCCATGCAGACAGTAAAGCTAATCTTGCGTTTCGGGTTCAATTTCGTGCACAAGGATCAACGAGCTCGCAGTGGAAAGAAGAAACACTCGGGCCATATTAAGGTGATTGGCCGCAACGAAAACCCTGAAGCGCGTCATATTGGAGAGACGGTAGCTTTAGCACGCGGTGCAACCCGCGCAAAACGCGCCTTTATGGTTCACAATGGTTTCTTCTCCAGCCTCCACTCGTCCTCCGCTGCAAGTCTCTTTTCGTTAAACTCAACTAGATCGGAGTCTACGTCGCACGAATTGCAACAGCATAGAGCTGCTGTGGCGCATGCACGGCTAGTTACAACAGCTTCGTCATCTGCAGTGACAGTAGAATCCTCAAGCGACGCTGCGATAATTTTCTCTTCATTCGAGTCCGTTAGCTCCACAACGGAGTCCTTTGACTCACCAAAAAATGTTGCCAGTTCTAATAGCAGTAAGCAATAGACAGCTAGATGGATTTATGACACGGACACTATGCTTTTTAACTAAAATGGTACATTCCAATAGAAAGCAGCTCCACTCCTTCGGTTAAAACAGGAAATATCGCTGCGCTAGTGGCAACGATGATGCTGGACGACAAGTCAGTAGTTTACCATCCGCATACACTTTGTATGTCTCCGGGTCGACCTGAATCTTTGGCAATACGTCGTTCAACTTCATGTCCTTCTTTGTAATGCCTCGGCAGTGACGGACCGGTTCAATGCGCTTCTTCAATCCATACGACTGCGCAATTTTCTTGTCCATGCAGCTCTTGCTGACAAAGGCAATCGAGCCCATGCCAATGGCATCACCAAGAGCACCAAACATTGGCCGCATCTTCACAGGTTGGGGCGTCGGAATGGAGGCATTCGGGTCACCCATTTGAGCACAAGCAATAGCACCACCTTTGATTACAATTTCAGGTTTGCTGCCGAAGAAGCATGGCTTCCACAAGCAAAGATCAGCTAGCTTGTTCACCTCGACGGATCCGATACGATGTGACATCCCATGGGCAACAGCGGGATTTATCGTGTACTTGGCAACGTAGCGCCGGACACGGAAGTTATCACGCTTATGGCCAGATGCCGCGTCCTCAGGAAGAAGACCAAACTGCTTCTTCATCTTGTCAGCAGTTTGCCACGTGCGAGTGACCACTTCACCGATGCGTCCCATTGCTTGCGAGTCCGACGAGATGATACTGATTGCTCCCATGTCATGCAATATGTCCTCAGCAGCGATGGTCTCACCACGGATACGCGACTCAGCAAATGCTACATCTTCAGCAATGTTCGTGTCCAAGTGATGGCACACCATGAGCATATCTACGTGCTCATCGATGGTGTTACGAGTGTACGGACGAGTCGGGTTTGTTGACGACGGAAGCACATTTAACTCACCACACACGGTCACGATATCCGGAGCGTGACCTCCGCCAGCTCCTTCGCTGTGGTAAGTATGGATTGTCCGACCCTTAAACGCCTCGATAGTGTGCTCCACGCAGGACGATTCGTTTAACGTGTCTGTGTGGATTGTCACTTGAACGTCGTTCTTTTCCGCAACATGAAGACAGTTATCGATAGCGGCAGGGGTAGTCCCCCAGTCTTCATGAAGTTTCATACCAACAGCACCAGCATCGATCGTATCTTGAAGACCCCCGGGAAGTGCAGTATTACCCTTGCCTGTCAGGCCGATGTTCATTGGTATTGTGTCAGTCGCCAGAAGCATCATCTTTATGTGGTTCGGGCCAGGAGTGCATGTCGTAGCTTTTGTTCCGGTTGCTGGACCAGTGCCTCCACCGACCAGCGTGGTCAAGCCACTTGCAAGCGCTTCGGTGCACAGCTGGGGACAGATGAAATGCACGTGGGCGTCAAAGCCTCCTGCGGTTAGAATCAAACCTTCTCCCGCGATCACTTCCGTGTTCACACCGACAATAAGGTTCGGCGACACACCGTCCATCACATCCGGGTTGCCTCCCTTGCCAATGCCAGCAATCAGCCCATCCTTGATACCGACATCGGCCTTGTAGATACCCGTATAATCAACAATCAACGCGTTGGTAATGATGGTGTCCACCACTTCAGCAGACGTCTTTCCAGACGCTTGACCCATTCCTTCACGCAGCACCTTGCCACCACCGAATTTGCATTCATCTCCATACACTGTCATATCCTTTTCCACCGTCACGTACAGTTCTGTGTCACCGAGACGTACAACATCACCTGTGGTAGGACCGTACGTTTGTGCGTACACACTCCTGGGCATCGTACAGATATTAAACTCCGGTTGAAGCACACTATTGTGCAGCTCCTTAAGGTCCAGCGTCTTGTGGTGGAAGCCCTTGGCGAGTGCTTTAGCAACAATAGCGTCTACCTGTGACTCGTCAACCATTCCAGTTGCAAGGTTATTGCCGCCAGAGATGACCTTGTTCCCGGCAATAGGAATGATCGAGACTGTCTTTTGGTCTCCTGGTTCAAACCGCACAGCAGTTCCAGAAGCAATGTTTAGACGGTGGCCGTAAGCAAGGTTCCGGTCCATCTCCAAGTACGGATTGATCTCAATAAGATGATAGTGACTTCCAACCTGAATTGGTCGATCGGACAAGTTGGTAATCTGCAGTACGCGAGCTTTTCGACCCGAGTTAAGCACAATATCTTCATCTTGAGTAATAATAGCTCCTGGATCTACCGATGACGTGGTAGCAGAGAGCTGTTCAAAAGCCTCTAGCTTGGGCACAGGCAGGAAAGACCCGTAAAGGGCCATAGAGAGGTCACCATCCAAGTTAGCAATAGGGTTGTCAATCGTCACAAGTTTCGTTCCGTCTGGAAATGTGCCTTCTACTTGTACATTGTCCAGAATAGAAGCTACACCATCCATCACTTGACGTCTGTATCATACAAACAGATATTCACATAGAATAATAAAAACAGTTAGTTACTTGTATCAATATGGTAAAATATCATTTCACTATAAAGTATTGTATATATGTGTGTACAATAATACCTGCCAAGCATTTGTGCACCAAGGGTCATTAATTCTGCAACTGTCTTACCATCTCGAATAAACTCCAGTACTTGGGTAGCCAATAAAGCGACACTTTCGGTATAATTAAGACGAAGACCTCGTGCCAAACGTTTTTGAGCCAAAAAACCCGCTGTATGTAACATCAAATGGTCTTCTTCACGTGGACTCAACCGCATTTTATCCCTCACAATAACCAAAGAACTCTTTGTGAGCTTGTCTTGATAGGAAATGGGTACTGTACTTTTGTCTACTACGTTGCAAAACTTGGACTGACAGTTCCCATGTTGAAGCGTCTTTTAGTACGACGCACTGCGCGTCACAACTCCCGATCCAATCAGAAATAGGTTATAAAAGTATCGCTGTTTGTGGCAGCTAGAAGACAGAAAACATACAGTGTCCTGCTCTTGTCCTAATGTCGTTTCTCTTGTTCTTTAACTTCTGACAAATTCATACAAAATTCTCCGTCGTTTTCGTCTAAAGCGTTATGTTCCTTTTGTGTACCGTCTCCAGTAGGTTCCAAACGTCGTGTAGTTCTGTCGTTAGTTGCATTCGTAACGCTGCGGTGCAAGTGTTTCATGACGTAATTGTTGTGACAAACTAACTTGGATACGATTCATCATCATCTTTGTCGATTGATCTACGACTGCGTTCTTTTGCTGCTGTTATGTAGACTAGTACTCAAGAAGCTTTGTCAGGTGGAGTTTATTTACGACAACGTTGTGTTCAATCCCGTGTTTATAGTACTACCCTATCGCACCTAGGACTACAGTTCTCCAGTCGCGTCCATACTTAAGTTATGCATCAAACACGTTTCCAACACCAAACTCCAGCTTTCTATGTGTGTGTTTTCAATAAATGAGTTATACGCTTTTCGCCACTCGACTCATCTGCCCAAAATAAAACAATAACATCATGTTGTTGTTGCTACAAACAGAACGCTACGATTCCATTCAATACACGACTGGGATATCTACGTATAAGCCTGTTCTTACAAACACTATCACTTTGTCGTGCATGTTGCCTTCATCAAGCACTTGCATGCAGTAGAAACTCCCCACCACCTGTAGAATTTGCCATGACATTATACGAGCATTTTAACTCCCGCTTTATCAAGTTGATGTCCCGTTTGCACGTAGTTGTCACAGATGAGACTGTATCCTCGCTGTGGTGCCTCCATCAACGGTGTCTATTCATTCTTGTCGTAACCTTTGAACAATTCATTTCCTTATCATTTTCGCCTTCTATCAAATTAGCGTAAACAACTTGAATATAAATAACACCTTACACGATCATCAACGGCAGCAAACGAGAGCATTTGTACCTTGCGACAAATTGGTTGAATGGTAGGTGCTCTAATGTTTACTGTTGACTTTATTTTAACAAATATTAGGTTAGAGATCCAGATGAAAGATAATTTTTTGTTTGATTGTGATAATGCGCGAATCCGCTGTCGGTGAATGTATAAGCTCTTAGGACTGTATAAGATTCGAGAGGTATGAATATTTGTGAGCAATGTCAATATTGTGAAAGGATACAAAATAATGTAGGCCACCTTACTTTCAAAAACATCAAAGCTAATGTTATATTTTCATGAAAGCACGTACTCGTGGATCAATGCTTTTACCTTTTAGTTATGACTGCATTAAACATACAAAACGAATAGTATTTTGGCTGCAAAGTACGTTTTGATATTGTTGTAAAGAGAGTAAAGCTACAGACTTAAATTCCGTTGTAAGTGATTGTCCGCCTTAAAACGACCTATTCTGTAGCAGGAGGGCAGATAAATTCAGTCTGCACAAAAACGTATGAAGAAACGAGGTCTGTTGAAAAGCGACAGGCTGTAAATCATCGCAGACCACAAAAATTCGCACGTCGACAACATGCTCACAACGCACATCGTCGCTTTCGCTGATTTCAAAACAATCTGTCATTGCTAGCAATAAATGTCCTAAATGAATGAGACTAGCAATTTATGGGACTCTTTCATGACTCCGTTAAGCTAGAGCACCTGCGTAGGACACATATGTAGGCTCCTAGGAGCGACTGCTTCAATAGCGTTGCAAAACACAGAGAAGTTCGTTGTTGTGAAACCTGTTGCATCCACGCTTCATGTCTGGCTACATGTCGATCCATAGCTTTTGTGAAGAATAGTGTAGGACGTTTACAACGTGTTAGGAATATCTATGATTAAATAAAGTTAGACATGTTTCGTGAAGCGCTATTTGCAGCTGAAGAGGAAGCTGCAGGGCCTAGTCAACTACAGTTTGCGCTAGAACCGTAGCGTGTTATTAGAAGCCTGTGCGATTGCAATCTACAAAGAGGGTTTGCCAGGGTGCTTTGTGACCCTCGAAGAACCGTCGTATGTCGCTAAAAGAAGAGCGGCAAGGCAACGAAGCATAACCTAGGGCGAGTTGTGCGGCAGTTGACATATATGAAGCTTCCATAGCTCTTCGTTTTTTAGTCATAAGACTTGCAGGGGTGCTTGGATTGGACTGGGGTATCTCTAGTGTGACAGCTCCTGAAGTGCACCTCCTGATAGTGGAATGCACCGTTGAGTGGAGAAGTCCAGCACACTTGACCAGAGCCATGCTGAAGTGTCCGTACAATTCGGTGGAAAAAATTCAAACTTGAGCACAAACGCCGGTCACATGTAACTTACGTCGCACGTAACTGAAGCAATTGAGGCGAAGACGACAAGTTAAATTTGAGTGGAGAAGAAGAAGCGAGAAATCTGCCATTCCACTACGCACAAGTCCCGTTCAACATACTCTATGGGTGGTGCCAACTCTTCCACAGTTTCCGACCAGCGGCAACCATTTTCTAAGTCACATAGTTCCAACCGCTTCGTTCGGTACAGCCGGTCAATCATGACCTTACGTCAACAAGGCGTACTTTTTTACATAGCTTTCTTTGTTGGAATTGCAGGCGTTCGTGTTGCAGCACAGAACAGTGAGATCAGCTCCATTCCAACAGGTACACCGACATTTCAAACTGGAGAGAACATTTACTACTCAACGAGCAGTTCTAGCTATGGATCGACCAGCGATGAGGACGCTGACGACACTGCCGCGTACATCGCCCGAGGATACGCGTCTGAGATGGATGAGAATGAACAACGTCTGACCATCATAAATGATAACCTTCTCATGGAGAGCGTTTGCAACGGCGATCCTGTGGTAATACTCAAGTCCACAAATGTCTCCACCAATGGTGCGTGTTTGCCGGCCCAAAGCCGGTATAACCTCTCGTGCTCGTGCCTTTTGGGCTTTGCAAACAAAACATCGTGGGATTTCCACATTCGTGCTCCCGAACAAGACGCTGTATCACCGTTTCCCACAACACTTAGTAGTGGAAATATCGTTCAAGTGAATTCGTTGATGCTGCTCGACGTTCCCTCCACCTTGCTTACCCTGTACGTTTGAATCACTTCAAACTCTTTTAGAGTGGCTGACTCATGTGGTTTTGTGCTGGACAATGTGCAGCAAAATACAGGGAGAGAGCAGCAACCTGGTCCCTGTGCGCCTAAAGAAAGCGACGGATGGAGACAGCAGCTTGTCTATCGTTCGCTCTCAGGAGGTCTCAGCGCTCACAAAAGTGTACGTTTAGGTCACAGTCTACGTTTCGTTGAGCCATGTAAAGCTAACTTACAAATCTATGGCAGTGATTTATACAACCTCGACCTTGCTGATGTACCTATTGAGTTTGGTTTTGTCCCCACGACAGTGTCAAGTCTGTAAGTAAGCATTCACAACGACCAATGTCAATGTATCCAACTCACCAGGTTGTGCTTGTACCTAGATTAATGCGTCGTTGCAATCTCAGCAGCCTCAATCAGCCATTTCTGGAAAGTTTCACTGCCCTCGAGTACTTGTACGTCAGCTAACTAACTACAAACGAAGTGTAAGCCCAGCTGACGATATTCCTTTGTTGATGTATGGCTGTGCAGAAATCTAGCGTCTAACAGGATATCCAGCATTTATACTAGACTGCCGGGATCGGCTGAGGCCTTGAACGCGATGACCATAATGTGGGTAACGCTTTTTACAAACTACTTCCATTTTCATATACTGACTTGCACTTCGGAACTCGGCTATTGAAATGAGCAGAAATTTGGCTAACAACAGCTTCACCGAGTTTCCAATTCATTTGCTGCAGTTTCCAAATCTTCAAAAGCTGTACGTACTTGATCATCGCATCGTTCACCAACATGATTCGTAGCTTACTTTTACATCTTGACTTGTCAGGGATCTGAGCGGTAACGCTATCACAAATTTGACCGTCACAAGCGATGAACTCTCAACTATTTCTCAGCTTTTAGTCTTTCGAATTGATGCACAACGGGGTTCCAATAGTCGTAAGAGTGACTGTAAAGGTGGTGAATGGCAAGAAGTACACAGCACAAATTTTTGTGTTGTCAATGCTTCAAGCAGCTCTCCAACCTCGGAAACGATGGCAACTCAAGGTAGCGAAGACAACACAACCAACTGGACAGCGTTCATGCTTGTAGCGGCGTTTGGTGGATGCCTTGTGGGTTTTCTGTTGTTTTTTCTAGCTATAAGGATGGCGCGATACCAACAAGAGCGTCATAACAAACTAGGTGCAGCGTCACCTGGTGTCGCAGACATTCAAACACCAGGCGCGATGGAGACTACAGCCTCACAGGCGGTCTACAATTCGCTTCACCCGACATTGCACGCAGGAATACTCAACGATCCACTGATAATGTCATTTCGACTAAATTACAAGGACGTGAAAGTTGGTCGCTGCATCAGCAAAGGAGGCTTTGGACTTGTGTACACCGGTACGTACAAGCGCCGCCGCGTGGCCATTAAAAGAATCATGCGCGAGAAGTGCGAGAAGCTATCACAAATCCGCATGTTCGTTCGCGAGATCACGCTCATGGGGTCTCTCAAGCACGAACGCATTGTAGAATTCATAGGCGTCGCGTGGGACTCGCTGCGCAACTTGAGTGCTGTAACGGAGTATATGGAACGTGGAGATTTACGAGATGTACTTCACACCCTGAAAAACGAAGGAAGTGAGGTTGACGATGGACTGACGTGGCATGGCCTCAAGCTTACCATCGCACTTCATATTGCGGAGGGCCTTGCATACATGCACTCCCTAAATCCCAAAGTCATTCACCGCGACCTCAAGTCCAAGAACGTGCTACTTAACGATGAGTTTCACGCTAAGCTCAGCGATTTTGGTGTCTCGAGGGAGCGCCAAGTAGCAAACGTCGAAGGCGTCCCTGAAAAATTCATGACGCCGGGTGTTGGCACGTCTTTCTGGATTGCGCCAGAGGTGTTGCTCGGCAAAGACTATGACGAGCACGCGGATATTTTTTCCTTTGGTGTTGTGCTATCTGAACTTGACACGGACGACTACCCATATTGGAATTCCGGAACCATCCCAGGACATGGGAACCCCGGTGACAGGCGTTCACAGGAACAGAAAATTCTCGAAAAGGTAGCATTAGGCTCGTTACGTCCAACGTTCTACAACGACTGTCCCCCCGGTGTTCTCTCATTAGCTGCAAGCTGTCTCGAAGGAAAGCCAGAAAACCGACCCAGTGCCTCCGAGGTTGTACTTACGATCCAAGAGCTTATTCGCGAAATGCATTTCGACAATCCAGACTCAGAGCCTGAACCTGATGAAATCGTCACGGCAGGGTTTCTCTCAAACGAATATGCGTAGAACGCCATATTCTCTCGAATGAAGAGCGATGTGGCGGACAATCAGATTTATGAATATTTCGAAGTAAAACTAATTGAATGTAGAATACTTTCCCAAATTGAACTTGACAAAGTCTAGAGCTCACGCAGCACGAGCTTTTTCTTACTGCAACGACTTATACAGCAGTCTTCTGCTTCTTTAACGCAGCCTCAGTACTTTCCTCAGGTTTAGAGGTTGCGTTGACGACCACACTCTGTTTCTTCGATTCACCGGCAGCCATCGGTATCATTTTGTAGACGGGCACGGGAAATGATCCTTCTTCATTTCGCTCGAACGCACCAGTGTCTTCCTGCAAGTATGCTCTGTATATACCAAAAACATCCACCTTGTTCACGACCCGCGATTATTTATTTGGACAGCAGGTCAAAACTACAAAACTTACGTAACAAATGTACGCAAATGTTCTTTTCCACCAAGCTCGTGCTCACTCTTGGAGTAGCTCTCTAGAATCTGATCACACACTTGATCGGCCGTCATTGCCGTCACTCCCTTGTGATATTTCGCTTTCTCAAACGCCTAGCATACAACCCCCCAAAATTACAAATAGCTCATGAAAAGAATCCGGATAATATCCGAAAAGAGGAAAATCGCACTCAAAATAATATCTCCTACCTTTTGGATAATTTTGAACCCACTCATCGTGCTGATAGTGGAGCGAATGGCACATAGGAAATAGACACGTGCGTGTCCAATTTTAAGGGCTGTCTTGGAACTGAGCTTAATTGTCTGGTTCTTAGACACGAATTTACCGTCTGCAAACATACCATTCTTGCCTAGACATTGCAGTTCAAAGCAACTCTCGGTCTGATTCCACTGAATACGTGCATGTAAGCGTGAAATAGCCTTGTGTTCACCCAATGCAATGCGATGATCAGGCAACGACGAGATGGGACCACGTCCGAGCTCCGCTGGCAAGTGTGTAACGAGTTTCTCAAAAGGTACATCATCCAATACACGTCCACTGAGCTTCGCATAGGCTAGTGGTGGTCGTTTTTCGACAAACTTCTTCTCCAGCGCTTTCTTACGTTCCTCGAGTCCAGGCGTTTGCATGATATGATTGTATCAAATGAATTCCTGCAGTCGTTAATATTGACAGATTATTGACGGATTTTTTGAGGAAAACCGGACTTTAATGACACGAGTGAGATAATTGTGTTTTTTACGAAAACAAAACATCCGATGGATTTTTCAGAAAAAACCACAAGTGGATTATTTCAATGAAGTGTGTTCATCCTTCTCTTTATCAGATTTTCAACCTTCTTCTAATTGCAGAAACTTCTCTACCCTTGTATCGCTCGGTTTCATTTACCTTGACGTTCACGTGCAGTTCGAATGTTCTGTCGCTTCGGCCTTTCTAGTTTTCTATCATGACTTACATTAGTCTCGAGTTCTTCCTCCTTATAAAACATGAAAGACGAAAAACCTCGACAGCCTGTTTCAACATGCGTGCTTCTCTGATTCATTAGTGTCATGTAGCTTGAACTATCGATTAGAGAAAGTTTGGTGCTTCAGTTAGTTTGAGACACTTTATATGTAACTCAATATCTACACACCCCTCTTATATAAATCCTGGTATCGAATCATCATTATGATGTCGACTGGCTAACATTGCTGGGATATATCATTGTAGCTGGTTACCAAGTGTCCAGACGACAAATGCCCCACTGGTCCTTAAAATGAGCCCTTCCACTTTTATAAAACGCAACGCTAGAAACGCATTAGTCCATTGCAGTGCAACGCCACTTGAAAATAAACTGTGACACCGAAAGCCAGTCCATGGGCTGAACACACCGCTAACAGCGCTCCCCGAAAGCTTCAAATAAAACGGTCGAGGTCAAGTCAAAACTTGGAACTCATGGATGTGTAAGTGAAAAAAAAGCGTCAAGAGTACAGAAGTAAGTTTTCAGTAGTGGACATTACTTCAGCCTTAGAGTGCCGTCACCACGAAAATGTACCGTCCTCATTGCGCTTGTGGTTATTGAGCTTCACGTTGAGCCCTCCAAAATCTACTGGCCTTTCTTATGCTTGCTTGACCGACTCGGCTGTGTGGCACGAAGCCTGGTAGAAAACAAGACCATCACAACTTGATCTTACATCTACCTGCGTCGTCACCCATCAAAGTCTTACTCTCACCAGTTTTTTTTGTTGCAATGGTGTCTATGCGTGGCGACTCGAAGTCCTCGAGGATCTCAAATAAAAAGAACACCAAGACAGGAATGACCTCGGTGGCTTCCTCACCAAGCATCTCGTCGGTGACTACCAAGAAGGAAACAATCCCGACTGGAGACGCTGTCACGACTATCACGACCACAATCACAACGGTGCGTACCGGCACGTCGAATGCGAAGAGTGATAAAGGTTTAGACACAGCGAATCCTAGCGGCGCTACCGGTTTGACCAGCTCGGTCACGGGTAAAAGACCTAGCAACGTCTCCACTACGACTATTACGACAACACATAATGAAAACGGTCTCTCACCGGTGACTACAGTCACAGTCGACAATGGTGTGAACAGCACAAGTCTCATGACGAGTAAGGGAGACGGTCTAGTAGGTGCCACGACCACAAGGACAGATTCCGAGCGAAACGGGTCTGGTGGTAGCTCCACAATTGTGACAAATGCCGGAAGAATATCTGCTGTTCCGTCCCAAGAAACGTCGAGTGGGGCGACTGCTTTGGCGTCAAGCAGTACAGCCTCAACATCCTCGTCAGCCAAAGAAACAAACGAAGAACGTTTGGCGGACTTTACAAACACGGATAGCAACACGACGAATGGGCAGCCATCCACCAGAACTACGATGGTGGCTGAGTCGACTAACAGTCACGACAGTTGGGCAACCACGGCTCCATCATCTAGCACTGTCAATGCTGCAGCGTCCATTGTCTCGACAAATGGGTCAAACGGGTCTGTTGCCAGCACTGAAAACGCGAAAACAAGCAGTAGTGCCATCGAAAGCTTGAACACTTCGACGGCTGGTGCGTCATCAAATACGGGCTCTGCTACGCCATCATCCAACGAATCCGTTGCATCTTCGTTCACGCGTTCATCTAGTTCTTTGTCATCGTCCAATGCACTGAAAAGTTGGTTCACCCGCAAATTTCGTAATAATGAAACGCAGCTTGTCGTAGGCGCTAATAGCTCCGCTACCACAACGCTGGATCAGGTGTGCAATGGTCTTCCGGCGCTAATAACTCGCTCCAACATTGAGGCTCCAAATGGTGGTTGCCCAGACGAGCTTACGGCGCTCAACGCGTCCTGCACATGCCTTACAGGATACAATGCGACTGCATCGTCTTGGACCTTTCACGTCACTATTAAGTCGCAGAACTCCGCCATGAACGCGACGACGCGGGCATTGACGCAATCGTCTTCTGACAAGCTGGCGATCAACACCATCCGTCCAATTTGGGTCTCCCCAAGTTTGAAGACGCTACAGATTGAGGGTACTGAGAATTTTCCGGCTGAAATCGCTTTCATTAATGAAAACCGTGAGGCCTCAAGTCCGTCGCTGCCTCTTGTGCAGTCGGTGAGCAACTCCACACAGATCTCCACCCTCTCACTGACGAAACTGGACCTGAGCACTGTGGCGGCGACGAAGTCTGACTTTGTGCCAGTTACAGTGACGAATTTGACATTGCGCAATTGCAACATTTCGACGCTTGGTAGCAGCTTTACGCGCACGTGGGGCCGTGTCCAGTATCTCGACCTGTCATCAAACAATCTCAATAAGAAGTTCGTTGGTGGGGCAAGTCTCAAAGAACTCAACTTATCGTACAACGCGCTTGCAGTTCTCCCCATGGGATTCCTGAACTCGACGAATTTGGAAGTCCTGTACATTCAAGGGAACGACATCAAAGACTTTAACGTGAGCCAAGATCAATTCAGCCAAATTCAAGCTCTTACAGCGTTCAATGCGGACAAACCTCCATCATCATCAACTTGTCAAGATGGCGAATGGCAGTCTGCACACGGTGCTACTTTTTGCGTCCTCAGCGCGTCCACAGCAGCAGCCGATTCGTCTCAGTCATCGGGATCAACCAGCGACGGTGACAACAATGGTCTCGGATTGCTATCTTACTGGCTCATAGCGGGTGCTATCATCGTGTTTTTCTTGCTCCTGCTGGTAATCTGGCAGCGCCGTCGCCACAGTCGCGAGGGTGACAGCAGTCCAATCTTGTCGCCCGAGGTTATTGAACCAACAACACCTAAGTGCAACGCAAACCACGCGTTTGGCGACGCACTCAATCATGACAACATCGCTTCATCCGTCGCTGCTGCTACTGGTTCTGCTAGTAATATTGTTCATGCTAACGCATACCCCGGATACGGACGGTCTCACGGTAACAGCATCGACAGTGAGGACACCACAGCTATGGGCTTAACGTTAGCTACCAACAAAGCATTGACGTCGTGCCGACTGGATTACGACGAGCTGATACTAGGTCGCTGCGTAAGTCGCGGAGGCTTTGGCCTTGTCTTTGTAGGCAGCTATCGAGGACGGCAGGTGGCCGTCAAGAAAATTCAAAATGAGCGCGAGATCGGACGCGAGCAAGTGCAGCAATTCGTGCGCGAAATCTCCCTCATTTCTGGCCTAAACCATCCTCGCATCGTAGAGTTCATCGGTGCGTGCTGGACGATACCGACTGAGCTTTCAGCAGTGACAGAATTCATGGAGCGTGGTGATTTGCGTGATGTCACTCGACGATTCAAGCGTCGTGGCTATCGCCTCTCATGGGAGTCTCACAAGGCAAATATCGCATTGCACATTGCCGAAGCTCTAACTTACCTACATGGATTGACCCCTACAGTGATCCATCGCGATCTCAAAGCCAAGAACGTGATGCTGAACGCTGACATGGAAGCCAAGCTGAGTGACTTTGGCATTGCGCGTGAACGTAGTTCGTACGACGGTAGTGAGCACATGACAGTGGGCATCGGCACGTCATTCTGGATTGCACCAGAAGTGTTGCTTGGTCATGATTATGACGAGCGTGCTGACATATATTCGTACGGTGTTGTGCTATCTGAAATCGACACGGATGATTACCCGTACTGGAATACACAGCATCAAGCAGAAGGCAAGGCACAGGAGAACGAGATTCTCCGTCTCGTGGCTCGTGGTTCCAAGCGTCCTGCATTCTCGGATGATTGTCCACCTGCAATCTTAGAGCTGGCCACACGCTGTCTCCGTGCTGACCCTGAAGAACGTCCTAGCGCTTTTGAAATTGTACTCTACTTGCAGCAGCTTGTACGGGATCGCAACTCAAGCGCATCGTTTCCGTCGATAGCTCAAGCTGATACCGCGTTCGACGGTTCACGCAGCAATTCACCCGCAAATACCGTTCCGGCAAATGCCATCGTGAACGTCCGCCCCACTGGTGAAGATACCCAACAAAACCAAGAAATGGTGTTCCCGCCGGCTGCCGTAGCTAATGCCCCAGGAAGGCGTTTGAAGACAACAATGACTACAGCAACGATGAAGACTGACTCATTAAGCGTTACAACGATTTCGCGTCCCGCTGTAGCCCAAGTGATGATAGCATCTTCACGTCAAGTACCATATCCAATTGGTCGCTCAAAGCTTCCTCCAATTGGCAAGACAACTAGGCGAGATGGTCAGGGCAATGCCAGTAGCATTTTTGATCACACCACACTCTCAATAGCAGGAGGCATCGAGAATGTAGGATCGAGTGACATTTATGCCTGTGCAAGACCCACGTCACCTAGCAGCATTCAAGCACGTCATTTGGCAGAGCGAGACATTTCAAGACAGCAACAGCTTAGCTCTTCGAGTGGAAAAGAGGCTACAGCCGTCGAGCGCCGGAGGAAAAGGTTGTCGCTGTATGAGGACGGAAAGGAAACAAAGTAGGTATGTTTATTCGAGCAATGCGATATCGTAATGAGTATGTTGTTGTCAATGTTATCACTTGCTTGCACGTCATTAAGTTAGTAATTGCAAACATGAATGCACTAACGGTGATTAAGTGGAATACAAAGCTATAATCTTCAAAGGTGTTTGCTCACCTCACTCTTTACTCTGCTGAAACCTGAATCTCAAATAAGTAAGAGTTGAGGGTCTATCAATCTAAGGAACAACTTCAGTATCTCACATGACATAGACAAAACACGTCGAGCAACCGGTATGAGCACGTCTTGTACTTAAGTGACCACAGACACAGTACATGAACACTAGGAACTTGAGTGGTGATTTCCAATAACGACAGTCTCAACTTCAAGCTGTTTCATGGCTCGTTTTCGACCAAACGTTGCGGCGCAGTCGAATCAAGGTTACAAGAGTGCCCTTTGCCTATCGTTTGTACTGTGACCAAGCCTTTTCAATGCATGACAACCAGCATCACACAGTGATCAGCAAACCAGTCATGCATTGTAAAGGTTGACAATCAAGCTCATTGCATTTTCGTGCGCCAAGATTCTCGCAAAACGAAGTTGAAGTTGTTGACACTGCTGGTTATTTTTTGGCACATGTAGCTACAAACCTGACCTGAGCTGACCACATCGTGCCGTATGGTTGGCCAGCCATTTAGGCTCGCTGCAGCTGCCCGTTGACCAGGCTCGCCGCACGTTGCCAGCGCTATGAGCGTCTGTATTCGGTCTTGAATGCATGTGATATTGCATATTCTTCTAGCATTGGACTCAAAAATCGCGAACATGTGCATGCGCGGCGACTGTAACTACACTGACCTGGCTGCAACTGTCTGGATTTGACAGAACCAATCTCGCCTCTTCTCACCATTGTTTCTTACTATCGGTTCATGGGAGACGTGTCTTTCTTCTTCGCCTGAACGGGTATTCTATCATCAAAAAAATACTGCAAAAATACTGGAATCGTATGATAAGAGTTTCTGCTTCCGTCGTCACTCATACTTCAGTCAACCTAACGTGTGGATACTATTTGCTTTGCTGTTGTTGGCTCAGTCGTAGCACAAAATTCGTTCTCAGCGTCGTCCACTACTGGAGAAGAGATCGACGATCAAGCGAAAGCGTGACTCGAGAAATATATGCAAGATGGCGAGACTAGCCGCTTTCCAAACGACATCAACGGTATGAGGCACTGCAATTCGTAGTCTCACAGCCCTGCCTGTAGTGTGCGATGTGAAGTCGTCCGTACAGACCAACTCTAGCACGATAAGAGCCAATGGCGGTTATCTCTCTATTTTCACGCTCGTTGGTGTGAGTTGGACGTGTCTCGAGGGCTACGGTTACTCGCTTGCTTGGGAGTTTAACGTCCAGCGAAGACAGGACCTTACGACTTAACCGTTGTTTGGTTTGGTGCTACGTGAACTTCGTCACTTGTGAAAATCGTCGCACCTGATGAGTAGACTTTGACAATTACATGTGTCGTTGTGGCAAATGATCTTTTGACGCTTAGTGCCACGGCTTAAGCTCGGTAGACAGCATTCAGTAGTTTGGACCATTTCGGCTGGCCTGTACAAAACATTGCAGGCCTTCGAATGTCAGCATGGACCTCCCTCACGAAGCGTATACATGCGACAAGAGCTCATTTCAACGCTGCAGCATTCACGTATCGTCAGGTTAATCGGTGTCGTTGGGGACACGCTGCGAAATCTGAATGCCGTGACCGAATACATTCGACACGGCGATCTGTGTGAGGTGTTGCAAGCTTCCAGCTGCGGAAGATTCCGTTATCATTGAAGTCACACACGCTTTCAACATCGCAGACTTTGACACACTTGGGACTTGCATTTGCTTGATCCCAAACTGATTCATCGTGCTCTCAAATCGAAAATCTGTTGCACACAGAGATGGAGGCCAAATTGAGCGACTGTAGTGTCCCGTGCGCACCATACCATTGAGACCCACATGATGGCAGGTATTGAACGTCTTTCAGGATTGCACCTGAGGTTCTCCTTGGCAAAGACTACGACGAGCGTGCCGACATCATTTCGTTTGGTATCGTCATTTTGGAATCGACAAGGAGGACTGACTATCCGTACTGGAGCGCAAAAAACGCGCCCCGAGATAGAAAGGTGGAGGAGACAGTCATTCTTGTATGGTGGCAGTAGGTGAGCTCATCCCAAACAAATTCCACGGGGCTGCCCCAGGGCGGTTCTGAGGTTGGCGAAAGCCTGCATATTTCTGGACTTAGATGACCATCCATTAGCTATGGAGGTAGTCGACGCATTCGAGCAGATCATGAGCCGTTCCTGTGTGAATTACGGTGGGGGAACAGGCACGGGATTCGCTGTCTTTGAGCTCATCATGTCCATTGTCGATGTATACGACTAGTTATTAATTTGTGAAGAAGACAATTTACCGCATGTAATAGTGTTTGGAAATTCATCTCGTGTAAAAAAAACGTTAAGTATCATGATATGTTGTCATATCCTCTAAGTGATCCAAACATCCTGATTGCAACACCGCGAGTCGCCTATTAGTTTATCCAAATTTGCCGTCAAAGCCAACAAAGCCCGTGATCTTGAAAATCGGGAAGAATGGCTTTTTGTGAAGGTTGGAACACCAATTCCAGGCGCTCGTGAGTCGTCCATCAATGCATGATCCAGCCTCAAAAAAATTGTCCGCTCCGCTGCCGTCGAATGCTTCGCGGAAAAAGTCTGCCAAAATAGTGCGCTTCAGTTTGTGAGTTCCACCGAACGTGGAATCTACATATCCTCGAATCTCTGGAGATTTACACATTGACTCAATACTATCAATGGCCTTGACGATTGGACGCAGAATATGCCCCACTTGTGTGTACTTATCGATGAACATGAGCGCGTTGGGGACATTCTTATCTCCAAGATGAATGACACTCGAGCCAACCCACGAATCTAATTTGCGCTGTGTAGAGTGAAGAATAACGTGCATGGCACGGGAAACACGGGGCGCAGGCTGGATGCGATGCAGGCCCTGACCGGTATCCGTCAGGTCGTAACGTGTGCCGTCAGCAAGTAGATCCTCGTCAGTCAAGCACCACAGCCGGAACATGTCATGCGCGATTTCGCGCCACAGCGTCAGCGACTGAAGCACATAATTGTACTGCCGATCGTGGGAATGGGACAAACGAGCACCATTATTTCCGCTGATGATAGCCAAAGAACTGTCTGTCTGCTCGTCATCTGGGTTGAAATGTGTGGTTAGCAGCTTGATCATGTGGTCGATCGGGTCACGCTCGAAGTACAGATGGTAATTGTTATCAGCGATCGAGTAAAGACACTGCTCAAGAGACTCACGTTCGAGACATCGGCTTTCGTACTTATCGCACAATGATCGAATAGCCTGCTCCTTCTGCTTTATTTGGCGCTGAATCTGAGCCCGGGACTTACCCTCAGGAGCAACCACCATCGTCGCAGTCTGAATACGGGAATCACGCAGCATATTCAAAACACCACCAGTTTCCAGCACGTCATACACAGTACGAATTTTCTGCAGACAAGAAAACCCTAACAGTTCCTGCAACTCCGGACTCACAGCGTCCTGCAATAGGTACATGAGCTTGCCGTACTCATCACGCATTTTTTCTGGGTTCATAATCTTGTATCGTCTACCCAATTCAAAAATCTTTTGATAAAACTCGGCGCTGTCAGCAAAACTTTTCGTGTCCAAAACCTCTTGTCCAGCCTTGTAGTCCGACGCTACAGCTAACGCCGACAGGAATCCGCATACATCTTGCAGCTGCGCACGCACACGCTTGGCCGCCGGCAAGAACTTGGGCGTATCCAGCTTGTCCGTGTAGCTGCTCACACATAGCGCTGCCTCCAGCGTGCGCAATAATTTTCGTTCTTCGTACGTGAGTCGGACGGGAATATACTTGGATCGCTCCAGCATCTCAGCAGCCGCTATAGCTTCAGCATTTATAGCATTCACGTTGCCGTTGGTAAGTCGTGGGATATCGTGCAATAACGGGTAACCTAACAGATAATGACCCATCAAGTTACAAATGTTACGGCGTAGTGCAGGTTTATCGGAGTCAGAATCATCGGAAACTGAGACGCGGTCAACCGTTCCATGCATACCACAATCAAGACCTTCTTCTTCACTGTTACTTGTGTTTTCATCCAGCTCTTCTTCGTCTTTAGTCTGTATACGAAACATTTTACAACATCAAAACAAACACAGAAACACACACACAAATATGTATAATAGCTCTTTATCATCTCAGTCTCCACAACACCACTTGCAACAAATTCCTCCCATACACACATCTCTCTCTCTACCTCTCTCTACACAACAAAAGATTCTTGCGTACATTGTAATCTACTGCTTCCTTTGCTTTTTTCTTCATGTCCATTTTGTCCACGTCTCTTATCATCGTTGTCTTTGCGTCTCTACTACTACCAACAGTCTTTGACACTGGATAACGTGGTTGAAACGTATGTTGTCGTCGATTGCCTTTACGATGTTGACCACTGTAGCATAATTCACAGAAATAGTCGTGGCATTGCTCACAAAAGAGCTCAGAATCGTGCACTTGGCACTCCACGCACCGAAACTCATTAGTACATTGTGTCTGTGTCATTTGCGTCTTCTCCTCGTTGTCTTTCGGCTCTGTAGATGCATTTGCTGGTACTTGTGCAAGCAATAAAGAAGTATCTCCATACAAATGATCTTCATCTTTGTGGTCTTCTTCCAGGAAAGCAGAGAGCGTCCGCATGCGGCTCACACGTGCGAGGTGGTCACTCGTCAACATGATGAATGTGGTAAAAGACGAATGGATACAGTTGGTGTGGTGTACGTAGTGATCATGTGCACACGTAAATGTATGGAAATGCTTGGCAAAAATTTAGTCAATGGAATGGAAATTTTGTATTAATATGAGGGAATACAGGCACTTGTAAATGGAATAAACCTGCGCTCTGTCAATAACGATGAATGGGTCCAGCATGGCATATATATTATTTATCACAGGTTTGTAAAAACTAATGGTCGGCGGTCACAGGTCAGTCATTCATTCATTCAAGGTTTTGTGTATCAATCATGATCTCTGCCCTTGCCTGGGTCCCAAAAGGTGCATCACGTCGTATTCCAGAAAAATTAAAGCTTACAGATGAAGAAATAAAGATGCTTCATGAGGTTGCAATGGAAGAGGAAGGGGAGGAGGAGGAAGCAGAGGAAGATAAGAGTGCAATGGAAGCAGCAATGACAGTGGAAAATGATGTTGCTGGACAGCAGCAGAATCAGGACGAAATGGACAGTACTGGACTACCGTCATCATTCAAGATGGATGAATATGATGAAGAGGACGATGATGCAGCGATTCGAAATTATATTGGTGGTGCTAGTGCTGGTGCGATTGAAGATGAGGAAAACGAGGGCGATGAGGACGATGGCATGACGAGTGACGATGATGGTAACGTGGCAATGCAAGACGAGGAAGACGAGGACTTGGAAATGGATAAGGAAGACGTTGAGATTCGACCGACAGATAGCGTGATCCTTGTTGCGAACACAGAGGAGGACTTTAGCAACCTTGAGGTACAGATTTATGACGATGAAAACGGTTCGCTCTACGTGCACCATGAGATCAATTTGCCAGCTTTTCCTCTGTGCATGGCGTGGATGGACTGCGCTCCGGTGCCACTGGATCCAAGTACAGGACCGTTGGATGGCAGTTTTGTCGCTGTGGGTACTTTCAAACCTGGAATTGAGATCTGGGATCTCAATGTGATAGACGTGCTGGAGCCCTCGGCTACGCTAGGCGGTGAACAGGATGAGGATCTTCGTGATGTTGCCATGCCTAAGATTTCAAAGCGGCGGAAGAACCATAAGACAGTTCTTAAACCTGGCAGTCATCAAGATGCTGTCATGGCGCTGGATTGGAACAGTAGCCACCGAAACATGCTGGCTAGTGGCTCTGCTGACTCGACGGTTAAGGTGTGGGATATCACGACACAAAAATGTTTATATACGATGGCGCACCACAGTAACAAGGTGCAGAGTGTGCGTTGGAACCCAGCGGAGACGACGGTACTCGCTAGTGCATCGTTTGACCGAAAAATTGTGGTGCTGGATGGCCGTCAGCCTGACGCCTTCTCAAAGTTTGAATTAAGTGCTGAAGTGGAGAGTATTGCATGGGTGCCGCACAACCCGAGTACCATCGTGGCTTCTACAGAAGATGGCGTCGTTGTGGGCTTTGACGTGCGAATTAATGGCTCGACTCCGCTGTTCCGTTTTGATGCCCACGCTGGCGCCGTGTCGGCGATTTCTTTCTCTGCTCAAGTGCCTGGTTTGATGGCAACGGCAGGTGTTGACAAGACAGTTAAGATTTGGGATCTCAAGGACAACGCGCCTGTATGTGTTACGTCGAAGGAGATGAATGTGGTACGTAGCTGTGTGGTACAGCGGGTAGTTGAGGGCTACGATAATCTAACAATTGTATTGAATGCTATGTAGGGTGAGCTATTTACGCTGTCGTTCTACCAGGACTCGCCGTTCATGCTTGGTGTTGGAGGCTCAAAGGGTGTGCTTGCTCTATGGGACACATCGGAGAACGAAGGTGTTGCGCGTAGATTTGGTTCTTGCGTACAAGTCGTGGCCACAGTTGCATCCAGCGATATTTCAGCATCATTTCGGTCACCATACCAGCTCGGCGAAGAGCTTGCGCTTGAAGAAGAGCGTGAGAAGCAGAAGCAGAGTGACAAAAAGGCAGGCAAGGGCAAAAAAAGTAAGAAACGCTAGGAAACCAAACAACAGTTCTTCTTAATATACGGTACATGATATGTAGTTGCGTAATATGCTCAGTTGTGCTTCAAACACTTTGGCGTTGGCAAAAGGAGCTTGTATGGAAGGTAGTTATACTATTATCACAGCGATGATAAATCTCAGTGCTAATAGGTGAGCATATAGTATTTGGCGACTGCCTGTGGCTTTCTCAGTTCAAATCACGCTTTCCATAATCTGACATATCGGTCACTGCCGTATGTGGCTATAATATTGCGATGCGGGTGGTGAGCAATGCCAAATGCGTCGGCGTTGCAGATTTGCATTGACGTTTCGAGTTTACCCGTTGCTGCATCGAATGTCACAACGAAACCCTTGTCGGTCACGCCATAGAGCCATTTGCCACGCATCGACAGCGTACAAGCGACAAAGTTGCCAATTTTCCTGTCATCGAGAGGACAACTCTTGTACGTCAGCACCACGTCCCCTCGCATTGACATAAGATGCATATCGCTCGTGCGCGTGCAAACAACAATATTCTCCTCGACCCCAAAAGCGTTCGGCATTAGCAGTGCACTCACGACATCAACTTCTGCAGTATATGATTCCTTAGGCGGTTGCAAAGTTTGCAGACACTCCGTCGTTTTTGTACTCCAGATCTTTAACGTTCCATCACTCGACGTTGAAATGACTTTGGTGGCGTCTGACGAAAAGAAGGCCGTGTTGACGTAACTCTGGTGGCCACGAAACTCTTTGAGCATCTGTCCTGACTTGAGCCCATGGATTCGAACAAGATGATCAAAGGAAGCCGTCAGCAGCTGTGTACCGTCCCGTGAGAACATGATACTGTGGATACCCTGACTGTGCGCATTGTTAAAGCGACGAAGACACATTCCTGTAGATACCTTCCACACCTTAACGTTTCCATCTTCACTGCCTGTTGCCAGCAACTCTCCGTCCCGACTAAAAGCTTGCGCTGTCACGCTAACATCGTGCATCATAAACTCATCCTTCAGCACATCAAGAAAAGCAGATCAGGACCTCAGCTACAAAATCTGCAGTGTCCTGCATTAGTCTGTACTCTCCGTACCTTTGCCTGGTAGTCAAAATCTTTTCGCAGCTTGCATTTTTCAAAATCCCAGACTTCCACAAATCCATCCTTCGCGCCCGTTACAAGCATCCTTCCGTCACGACTGAATTGTGCACATTGCGGCATTGAAGTCTTACTAAACTTGATCTTGCCCGCCGGTTTGCACACCAGTTTATCCAAGCGATCAACCACTCTTTCCTTATGTCTACCTCGAAACAGATCAAAGTCTTCTCCCGGAGCCACCACACCCTTCAATAAGCAGCATCAGTTTCCCATCTCAACAATGTGAAAGCTATAGAAAATTTGAATACCTGTAACTGCTGCCACTTGAGTGCCTGGCCTAGCAGAACCAGCAGTCGTGACGGCTCGATAGTCGATACTTCATTACAAAAAGCTTGTGCAACTTCATCTCGCCGCTTCTGTTTACTGGAACCATGAAAAGCTTTTGAAGGGTCAAAACATGCCTGTTCGGCCATCTTTTGAAGCCGTAGATAGCGCTCTGGTTGTGTCGCTTTCATCATGGTCAGCGCTGGCGTGTTGTGTAGCAGTTGCACCGCCACGTCATTCTCACATGACTCCATCATTTCAAGCGCCACTAGCTCATAGAGATCCATCATAGCAGAAGAGCTGCACTCGAGGTCTTTTGTTTGCTGAAGCACAAGGTCCCAACGGCCGTGTGAGATGTCGCTAGCCAACGAATCTACGGACTCTACAGCGTTAAGACTCACTTGAGATTCCTCTTGTAGCGCACGCATGGCACTAAATAGACGATTCTCACGTAGAAACTGCAGAATCAAGTGAATGATGTCGCTTGAATCCACTTCTAACTCACCATCATTGGACTCCATTTTAATTGATTGGTTTGGCAAGTTTTTGGAATTCGATTCATGGAATTAAATCGTTGAATAATTTTCATAGCGAAATCGTCGAAATCGTGCTGATTTTGTCGATCTCAGTGGTTTGTCGATCCGAGGGCAAGATAAATGGTTCCCAGCTAAGGTGTGAGGTTGATCCACCAATGTGCATGCCCTATCGTTGTCCTCAGTAATCACGCCAAGGTGTATCGATCCGGTTGACGCGTCAGCCATTGCATGGCTTTTTCTGCCGATGTGTTTTGACCGCGACCAAGTCCTCTGCCGGACGTAAAGGTGCAACCCAACATCATAATCATCGGTTCCAATAGGGCCATCACTCAAAACTTTAGTTGTAAGGATTCAAATCGTTGGCCTCCAAGAGACGACGCGGTACTTGAATACGAAGTCGGAACCAGCGAGATGACAGAATGCGAACTAGGCACTTTGAATATGTATGACTTCGCCTCCTTACCTCCGTCGCGACTAGTGTGGCTAATCGCATTTTCGTCTTGAATACGATTGTGTGTCTGCGGTGCTACTGACAACTGCAGTCTTAGGGTTTCGCTTCGTTCCATGGGAAAAACGTGTTTGAATCAATAGAACGCGCAATACAAAACCGAAAACGCGACGGACAGATGTCCATCATCACAAGCAAGGTTTGCGTTGATACAGCCACTTTCGCCTTGTAAGTTTTTAGATTATCCCGACCATTTTCAACGCACATTCACCACGTAGGTCAATATGCAGTTGACACTATATATAATCATCATGTTGCACCACGAAGCTTTACAACCTCAAAGCTGAAAAATCCGACATCGATAATGCCACTTATTGAGACGTGCATACGCTTCAATTGATGCATAGCGTTATCAAATTGCGTCAACGTTCTTTGTCCGATTTAGTCGTGATGTTCTCCACCTTATATTGAGAGCACTCTGTTGTCAAAGCGTTGGATGTCTAGTTACTCAAGAGCAGCATACATGGAGCTGCTTTTGCCGCATGCTTTCCTCACATTCTTATGCCGCAAATGCATGATGAAATCACGTCGAAGATTGGGTGCATCATATCGAGCTTGTTGTCGGCCTGCCGTACTGTATTGAGCCGTACATCAGTGTGGCGAATGCGTAGTGTGCCAAATTCTGGAGCTGAAGAAGAAGGACATTGCAACGTGTGGTGCTATAATCTCAGCTAGTGGCAGCTTGTGGGTCTTTGGAGCTCCGTTTCATTAGATACTAAACGATCAAATGCCAATACGATATGGTAAGCTTTCGATATCTTCTACGCTTTAGCACCTTTTGAGTGTGATCTCGAAATGTGTCTGACAAAGTGTCGTCACAAAACATTAACGCTGGGACACCATCACAGTGCCGTGAAGCATCTGCTGCCGTGATCACCTCTATGGTGACATCAAAGTGGGACTCTGCTTGCTTAGCCTTTTTACTTCCTACTGCTGGCCATATTCTTGCAGCGTAAGATACTTCAGCCTTCTGCAAGCAATGCGTTCTACTGGACGACAAAGCATCCTGCATCTAGAATTCTCGAGGCCCGGCGGTTGACCTCTGGAACACTAATAAGGATCAACTTTAGTTACTATGGAAGACTAAAGCGCACTCAACTTCATCGTGAAAAAATGACTGGCATTGGTACTGTGGCTTTTAATTTTACGCTAAAAGCTGCATATTCCGAAGTGCCATTTACCCAAATGCCTTTCATACAAAAATAGTAATGCTTTTTCCAGTAATTTAGCATATTATAGAGCTCGATATTTCACTTCCAAAATGATAGCACAATCGTATGTAGTATTTTTTACATGACAAGAAGAATACTAGTATAGTAGTATTATTTACATAATACTAATAGTACTAACATGATAGTAATACAAAGAGTAATATGATTACAAAATAGTAATAGTAGCAGTAGTAGTCACACTTATCATATTGACAAGAGTAAACACGCAATGCAGGTAACAGTAACATCGGCAGACGGAGACCAAATGGCTCAGATCAATGTGGAACCCACACACCAGCTCAACTCTGTGGCTCCACAGCTTCAGCAACACGTAAACATTCAATAGTCTTGATCATACAGTACACCTGCATGGAAGACAAGTCTCTGAATATAGCGTATCCATGTGTAGTTTGGCATTCCAGCAGCATCTCAAGTGCTCATGCTCGATAGCAATCCGTTGAGTATGAATCAGACGGTAAATACCACACGATACAAATGTGAAACGCTCTTGGTCTAAACGCTCATCTGCATCACTTACTGCTTGTTGCTCGTTCAAGTTCGAGGAGACGGGGGTCAAGGACAATGATTTGCTGGTGATTATGCACAGCCCTTCGACTGCATCTGCTGCTACAAGATCTACTGTGACGAGTATGTCGAGTTATACGGCTCGCACGGGCATGAAGATGCACGAGATTCCGGTACATTGACGCTAAGAAATGCCTTGCAGTGGATCATAAAATGCTCATTGTTGCGATTCATAGCAGAATAATGCCTCGCCAGAAATCCTTCTCGATATTATGGACAAGAACCCTATGCTTTTGGTGGAGGTAAAGAAGGATCTTTGCTCTATGAAGTGGTGGTGGTGGTGAAGGGTCTGAACGAAACGTTTGCTCTTTGCTACAGCTGCAACAAGCGAATCCAAAGTTGGCAACAGCACTACAGACCAAAAAGCGTGTCAGTAAGTGAAATATGGCATAAAATTATCGAAGCAGATTGATACTTGACTCTATGTAGGAAGTACGTATGGCATTAATGCAGATGCACATGGAGGCAGCATCTCGGAAGTTTGAGGAGCAACGGGAGATTGAGGCTCTGGAGCGAAACCCGTTCGACGCTGATGCTCAAGCCAAAATTGCGGAGCGTATTCGCCTCTCAAACGTTCAAAAGAACATGGAGATTGCTATGGAAGAGATGCCCGAGGCATTTGGACGTGTCACCATGCTTTACATTCCTTGCGAAGTGAACGGGACAGAAGTGAAGGCGTTTGTCGATTCCGGAGCACAGTCCACCATCATGTCGTCGGTAAGGCCAACTATCGCTCATGACAATGATGATATTGAGCTGAAACAATGTAATCGGTTGCGTTGGCTAGAGTTGTGCAGAACGATGTGGTATCATGCGCCTTGTGGACAAGCGTTTTGCTGGGCAGGTAGAGAGGCTGCCTTTTGTGCAAACAAGATGTGATCGTTTTAGATTGTCACACAGTGCTTTCGATCGTGCAGGCTATTGGCGTGGGTATGGCGACAATCATTGGCAGAGTGCATGTGGCCGCATTAAAGATCGGTAATGAATTTTACAACTGCAGCTTCACGATTCTGGATCAACAGGGTGTTGACTTCCTGTTTGGACTGGATATGCTCAAGCGGCATCAGGTGCGATACCATTTCTCTACATATTATGATTGGTATCGGACTTACTCGTATAATATTTGACTTGCTGTAGTGTTGCATTGATCTGAGCAAGAATGTTCTGCGTCTTCATGAAGGCGATCGCTTCCACGAAGTTCCCTTTTTGCCAGAACACGTACATGATATTCAGCGTGTTCTCGCTGTTGCTGTATTTGCAATCTACTGACTTGAGGTATCTTGTTTTGCAGGAAATCCCGTCGTCGGAGAACCGCACAGACTCCGCACAACCTCCGACCAAAAGTGGTGATGTGCCTGTTCCTGCGTCAAGTCCAGGCTTTACCCCACCTTTTGCCGAAGCCATCCAGTCTTCCGCTCTACCTCCTACTGCTACTGGTCAAGGCGGCGAAGCAAAGATCGCTCAACTGGTGGCATTAGGCTTTCCCGAGCAGCAGGCAAGAGTTTATGCGGATCTGCGTATTTACTTGTAGCCGCCACTGACGTGTGTTGTTCTAATTTGTGAAGGCTATCCAGGCGCTGCGGACTTGCAATGGCAACGTCGAAATGGCTGCCGGGCTTCTTTTTGATAGCATGTAGACTTCGTGGTAACTAATTTGACTGCGCGACGTTGGCCGACCTTGACGTATATGAAGCATTGAGTCCCATTGTCATTCAATGACAATGGGTTGCAACGATTTCCGACTGGACCTATACGAGATCTGGGCCATGATTCCGTGACAGGCAAGGACCAGCGGGTCGCGCTTACAAGAAGAAGTTGTATTGCCTAAGTGCCGGCGAAGACGGCGTAAAGTCTCAGTTTACAGCCATTACTATTGTCTTTGACGTATTTTTTTGGTTAGTCCTCGAGTGCATAAGTTCCTTGAATTGACTCATGCGCAGATATGCTGCTGGACCCCAAGTACAAAAAGGCTTATGGCAGGAAGTTGCTACGCGAGGCTCTGGTGACGAAATTGCAGCGCAATGGAGAGGCGGGCAGTCAATGGCAGCGCAGATGCATGCAAGATAGTATGTCAGTTAATGTGTCAGGCATGTCTAGAATTACTGGACCACAGCAAAACTTCGTTCACAGCAGGAAATCCGGCGTGAAACAACAGAATGCAAGGCTGACGAATTTTTGCGAGAAAGCCCTGGTTTGCCGCTTCAATATCTCAGCCATTGGTACAAGTGAGGCAAGAAGCAATATTTCACTCAACTGCAGTGACACTCAATCAGAGCTCCGGTCGTATGGCAAGATTGTGACCACAAGGCGTCATTGGCACGTCGCACACAAGGACTGTAGGTGGTAATTCTCGATTCGAAGTCAAATTGTGAGACGGATGGATTCACGTCCGCAGAGAGCAAGTTGACGGCCAAAAACACAACATCAAAGCGCAATGCGCAGACGCTACCAGAGAGCAATCTCACGCTACGAACATTAGGCATTTGAGAAGTCAGTATTGTAGCACTTTGAGAAAAGGCAAAGCTACAGCATGAGACTGCACAGGCAAATGCTCAGTTTGGCGGTATATTTGAAGGTGATTGATGTCGTTCTAGCTGCACTTCAGCGTACCATCTTGCTGGACGCCGTCATCTGATGCAAGAACTTTACCCACACAGAAGAAATGGCCACCACTTCTTGGCCCTACAGCCAATTGCAAATGGCAAATGGCGTTAAACGAGCTTCACATCATTTATAACCACTAAATGTACCACCCACCACGTCATTGATATGCTCCATGTTCTGGTTCAATATTTGCACGTTTGACACGGCCTCTTGCATCTCCTAATTAGCAACAAAGCCGAGCAAATAAGTGACACCATATCTATTCACTTCACAAGGTTCTTGTTCTAACCTCTCGAATATCATCTTCAATGCGCTTTCTCTCCTTTTGCAGCCATTCCTACCCCATTTCACCCATCAAATATTAGTTTATAGCATCACCAATATACTGCAAAACACTTTTCAGCCCATTGTACCCGGTCAGGACCTCCACGCGAGCCTCTTCGCATTTCGCTCATCTTATAAAATAACTGAAATTACTTACTTGTCATTTGTGACAACATTAGCATTGTCCTTTTTGAACAAGACACTTGAGGTTCTATCCGATAATTAGTAATTTTACACAAGTCATTGTGATCTCGTGCTCCGGAATAATTGGACCATTCACATAAGACGACATCACAATGGAATGAATGCATGACGAACACTGCATCGATATATGCATATAGCATAGCATTTGCAAGACGCGCAGTTTGGTGACAACAGCAGCTTAGATTTGAGAAAAACAAAAAGATGCTGCACCCTGTTTGTTGCGCTACGGACTATAGGCATATGGACGCTGAAGAAGAGGCGTTGTTGTGCAGCATTCTAACACGTAAACCGTGGCAATTTGCTGGACTACCTTTTTTTTTTTTTTAGCAAGCTTTTTGCTAGCTCCTCAACGGTCCTAAGGCTACGTAGTGTGTATTTACACAAGTCTAGTATATCAGGCTATCTACTTCAATTGGTTGCTCCTAATCCCGAACGAGAAACCTTATTTTCCTGCATCACAATGGTGGTTCTAGTCGCCCTGGTCGGAGGATGCGAAGCTGTAAGCTTGTCTGCCGCCGAAACACTGTCGAAGTATATGACCGACATATGCATCTTTAAAACGCTAAATACATCATACACAACAATGCACGATCAAGCGTTACTTGAGGTTTAACTTGGCCGTCACAACAAGCAAACATAGACCAGAGAGTTTTCTGGCAGTGACTTCTGTCACACAAGTAGGCAACATAATAGTTTTTTGGTTTATTGGACATAGGGTAGTATTGAATTTGCCGTCGGTATAGCATTCAATATAGAATTGGTATTGGTTCTAGACGATTACATTATTAACATTGAGCGCACACGTTGTCTCGTCTCTTCCGGGTTGGATTCTCGTCACCTGTGAGTCAAAGAGTTCACTTACGTACATATTTGGCCAGGGGTTCAAGTATACTCAAGTCAAGTCAACTACGATCACGTTAGGAATTTCCACGCAATCCACCACTTTCGGTCCAGACCCCGTCAAGATCAAGATCGTACCAAGTCTGCCGAGGAGAGTGCAACTCACCCAGTCGATGGGTAAATAAGGTGAGAAGGAGAAGCATACGTATCCGAGTACCCAGGTCTCCAGGAGCAAGTGTTGGGATACACTTAGGGGCTCAATGAGCAAGTGCTAAATACCTTACGCCCAGGACGCTTAGTAAGCAAGTGCTAATTTACTTATGTACATAAAAAAAGCAAAGTGTTAGTGGTCTCCAGAGCTCGCTGTAAATTTGATGAATCGGTGATGCGCCAGGTCCCATTAGTGGGTGAAAGAGTGAGAGTGTAACGGGGTTACACGAAGGTGTATATTATACAGACACATCTGCCGCACCATTTTGGTGTGGCTGTATCGTTTGTACATTGGGTTCACACCCTCTTTGGTATGACCGTACCTACTGTATTCACATCGTCACGTGCCCATTATACTTTAACCAAGCACTATGGACGTATCTGTATATATATTAGAAGGGCTGCAGAGCCAAATAATGGAGTGACTAGCGCTAGTATAGAATTGATGTTTCTATACTAATGCTAGAAGATAGATACTACATAAATTAGTTTCAAACCTGCTTTGGTAAGCACTTCTGCTTAACGCATTATTCCTCATTATAAAAGTAGTATCCGTGACACTGATCTCGTTTGAGACATTGGCTATGTAACCACGAAGGCATAAGTTTGTGAAGCTAGCCTTGTAAGCTCCAAAACAAAGACGTAAAGCTCGTAGCGCTTGTTTTTCTCTGCACTTAGCGCATGTAGTAGCTTGGCTACGGTAGCTCAGCTACACATGTACAACGCGAAGCAGGCGGAACATGCGCTTTTTTACTTATCATCGTCGTTCATCTGAGCAATTTGTATAGAAAATCAGTTAATGACTATCTTGGCTCTGATAAACAACTGAAAGAGATCGACAGACTGCTGTAAGACGCAAACAAAGCGACTTTTAAACCAACGCTATTGTGCAAGAGCGAAGGCGTTACAGAAATGAAAAGATTCGTGCAAGAGCTGGAGGTGGCGTAGAAGAGGGACGAAGGTGATACTGGTAGCAAAAAGATTATTTGCGTATCCAAATTGCATATACAGGATGTGAGAACATAAGTCATACTCGACTTGTAATCGCGATCCGAGGTATGTGGTCCACACCCCGCGATACGATATGCTGACGGCTCGATCGGGGGTATTTGGTCCGCACCACGTGACCCTATTTGCTGACGACTCGATCGGCGATTGCGATACCAGGGTATGTGATCCACACCACGCAATACGATCCTTTCAATATATATACAGATATGGCTATAGTACTTAACTAAGTATTATGGGCACGTGACGATGTGAATTAATTGTGCCGTAGGTACGCTTACACTACAGACGGTGTAGGCTTAATGTACCAACGGTACAGACACACCAAAATGGTGCGGCAAAATGTTGGTATAATATACACCTTTGCGTAACCCGTTACAATATGAATAATTCTGCATTCCCAATTTTTCGCGTTCCAGCTCAAGCAGTTTATGTCTCGGGCATACTGCTCGCGGGACCACCATCAAGCGAGTGGTAGACCAGGGGAGGACATGACGGCTGGCGGGTACCCGCGCCACGCATCATCGCTTTGGCGCTCGCACAAGTCAGCTCAACGGACCGCATAAGCGGTGACCAAGGAAGCCTTGCCTTTCAACACCCACGGGGCGTCATTAGCGTAACGAGTTGCTCGAGCGGTCTTTGCGAAATGCCATGGCCGGTATGATGTCAAAACAGCATCGACTTATAAACCCAAGATGTAACGATGTGAGCCTGTTACATGACATTGACACCACTTTTAGCTTTTTGTACAATATTATCACAATAGATAGGATAAACAATATTATTGGAAGGGATTATGTTGTAGAAATATGACCTTAGGATCTTGTACTCCATCAAAGTTGGCTAGACTTCGCCTGTTCGCTGACCCACCATTTCATTGCGTGCGCCCATCCTTCAGTGGCCAACGCCTTGGTCATCATATCAGCAACGCGCCGGCCAACAATGGACGGACGCGTCTAATGTAATGGTGGGGAAGTTAGTTAACATACATATTAGTACTTATATATTGCTAAAGAAACTTATATTGAAAAGAGTCATCAACTATATATGTTTTACAGCCCCTCTTTACATTTACTAACAAGTGGTGTTGTTCAGTGATAGTTTTCTCTCTGTATTACCGGTGAGGAAGGGCAGGTTTTTCGCGAAGACATTGTAAAGAAAGTCCATCAAGCGCCTGCTGAAGTTTAGGGGTGTCGTGGGCGGGTAGCCACTGGCGAAATAAGCCGAATACCAGGAAAAAAGCGCTGATAGCGAAGAGCAGAAGGAGCAGTCGCTGCAAGTGTTCGACAACAAGCAAGAAGACAGAAGAGATAAGCCACCCCGTGGATGCGGAAGTGGCAAGGTGGCAGGCAGTAACCTTACCAACGGGCGTGGAACGGATGACCAAGATTGCCAGCCCGGACTGGATCAGGTTTGCAAGCATGGGTTGAGGAACCAAATACAGATGCAAAGAGCGATGCACGATAGCGGAGCGCCGAACGCACGCTCTGCCAGAGAGGACACATACATTGGGCGCCCAATCGTGCTAGTACCGGTTCCAGCAGTGTTTGATTTTTCGGCAATCAATGGAGCTTGGAATGACTGATCACTAGACTTGGAGATACCGAAAGTTTGCGATCAAACTTGGCAAGATGACACCACATTGGAAGTCAACGCATTGCAATTTAACTTGGGTACCCGAAAAGTCGATCGTGAAGGTAAACAAGAGCAGATGTGCTTATTGAAAATTGAGCAAGTAGAAGTCATATTTGCCAGCTGACCGCAAAGAAATCATGATCATGAATAGCATCATTACGTTCTGCCTCTCGACGGAGAACTTGGACTAGTAGTCAACTGAGGCTGAGGTAAAAGTATTTTCCAACCTAAACGCACGACTCGATCCGCAAACATCATGAAGCAGTTGATCGCATCTGGCCCGCAAATTGATTATTCCAAGCTGCACTCCGGCTGTCCCGACTGGAGATTGGCTTGCTTGCGACGCGCGCGATAGCCGCAGGAACCGTGGTCGGACAGTGCTGGGGCACGTATGTATGTACTTAGCGGCACCCTTACTTACTTAGCATCCGCGATATGAGTCCACACCGCGTGATCGCGATCCGCTAATAAAAGTGATCGCAATTCATAATATGTGGGTCACACCATGCAATTGCATTAAGATCGAAGGAAAAATCGCGGCCCGTCCCGCCTTCGACTTCAGCGCAATTGCAATCCGCATAGTGGTATCTACACTGCGCGACGCGCGCTTACACCCATGTCAATGTGGATGGATAATCAAGATACGATCAAGCAACTCGAGTCGAGAAGGGTATGTCAAGCGCGAAGATTGTGGACATACGTTTCAAGTATATCCGACATTACGTCCAAAAGGTGTCATAGAACCGAAGATTATCAATACCGAAGGCATGATGGCGGACCTCGTTGCCAGCACCAAGGATGGATGAGCTGCGTGCAATTCTCAAGTTATAGGCCTTTCAGGATGATGTGTTGAAAGCTATTGATTTTGACAGGTCATGAGGGTGTTGAAGCTGTAGTGCAAGGTCTGTTACAGGTAAATTGCAGCCTCACATGATTGGACAAACTAGTCGACAGTTCGACATATGGTGCAGGGTGGCAAGAAGGCATGGAAGGTACATGGGACGAGGAGCTTATGCGATGTACAACTTTACCAGGTCCAGTATCAGCTCAGGCACATGAATATTATAGTGTTGTCGGATAAAGATAACAATAATGCATCTACTTTAACTTCTGTCCCCGTTACATGAAGCACGCTCTCCCAGACCACCAAGTTTCCACCTGCCACCGATATTATTTCTGCGGGGTGTTGGCGATGGACATTAGCCTTAATATCTTCAAGCCATATTAAGCCACA